CTGCTATGCTGTACCCGACCTGACCCGTTGACCTGACATATATTTGGGTCAAATAAATTAAAAACACCGAAACTAATAGTTCCGGCGTTTTTACATGTAAAATCAAAAGAAAAAATGCCGGAACTAATGATTCCAGCGTTTTTACATGTAAAATTGAAAAAAAACGCCAGAACTAATGATTCCAGCGTTTTTACATGTAAAATCAAAATGAAAAACGCCAGAACTAATGATTCTGGCATTTTTACATGTAAAATCAAAATGAAAAATGCCGGAACTATCAGTTTCGGCGTTTTTACATGTAAAATCAATATGAAAAAATGCCGGAACTAATGATTTCGGCATTTTTACATGTAAAATCAAAATGAAAAATGCCGGAACTAATGATTCTGGCATTTTTACATCTAAGATCGAAACAAAAATGCCGAAATAAATAGTTTCAGCGTTTTTATATATAAAAACAAAGTAAAACGCCGGGACCTGACGTTTTTTCAATAAAAATTAAAAAAAATCTTTTTTTTTAATTAAAAACGTCGAACCTGACGTTTTTTGTATAATTAATAAAAAAAAATGTTACATAACGTTTTTTTAATTGAAATATTTAATAATAAAACTTCGGGTAACTTAAGTTACCTGAAGTGACCCGAATACTTTCAGGTCAAATGGGTCAGGTCGGGTCAGAACGGTTTACCTGACCCGACCTGACCTGAAAAAAAAATTTTGGTTCAGGTTAACCAGGTAACCCGACCCGATCTGACCCGTGTGGAGCTCTAGTTGTTACTGTTGATATTTTTAAATTTATTATTGGAAAATATACAGTATAATTATTTGTATCATCTTTGAAAATTTGAAGAATTACTTCATTATTAAAGGTATATTTCCAATAAAATTGTTGAAATTCATTATTTTGGTTACTATTTTGCAATGAATTTTCATAGATTTCTGAAATAATATTGGAATCATCTTTATCTAATAAATTATCCAAATCTGAAATTTCTGTAAATGCATCTTCATTAAAATCATAATCTAAATTCAAGGTAACAAGATTGCTGATTTTTGAAATATCAATTTCAAGATCCTGTAATTTTAAAGTTTTCTGTTCCAAAATCCAATGCCATAATTTTGCTTTTATTTCTGCATTATAGAGTGTTTCTTGAATTCGTACATTATTCCAAATTTTCATTGCAAATTTAGATAACAACTTCTTGTCACAACATTTACATTGACATGATATTACAAACTTTTTATCTTTTACATATTGACATACAGCTCTAATTGAATGACCATAACATCATGCAATAATTACTTTTGAATTATCATGTTCTTTTTTTTCATACAAATCATTCAACATCCTTTTTATATATTCAGCATAACTTTCATTATTGTATGCATGAAAGCAAGCCAATAAAATATTTTTTTCACAATCAGCATTAATCAAAAATAGAATAACATTAAATCCATAAATTCTTTATTCTTCACTTCTTAAAGTGCAAAAATAATTTTCTAAATTAGATGCAGTCAATTCATTTGTAATTATTTCAAAAATATTAATAATAGGAGCATCTAATCCAGATCCTGAGTTCATTAACATCAAAGCATTTAAAATTTTTGGTTTCGATTGTAATAACATTGTATTAGAATGAGTTGAAATTAAATACTTTGGTAGAGATCTATAATAATTAAGCATATATCAGTAAATTTATCAAATTAACTGAAATAAGTATATATTATAAGTTCATTATTTACCTTATAAGAGAACCTGTATAATCTATAAATACCCCAGGATCATTTCCAGCATACATGTGATAATAACAAAGTGAAGCTTCATTCAATAAAAAAATTGATAATGGTACAGTTTTTATGGGTGATTGAATATATCCCCACATTTTTATTTTCTTTGCAGCCTCCTCTCCATTTTCAAAAATATATTGTGACTTATGAGTTTCATTAATGCTAGCAATTGCTATATGAATTCGTTCAATTATTGATTTTTTGGGCTTAATTTGAGCTGATAAAGTTTTAGCTGCAGAACATTTTGTCTATTTCCTGTAAAACGAGATTCTGAAGAAATATTATTTAATGCATATTGTCGTAATTGTCTTGGATATAATTTATCGCTTATCATTTTTATAGCACTTTCTTTTCTTGCATATCCACGTAATTGACCATAGGATTTTCCTTGTTCATGTTGGCAAATATTTTTCTCTTTATTAAAATTAACTATAATGTGAATAATTTCTTTTTCAAGAAATAATTTTTGTTTATTAATTTTTACTGAAAAAGTTGACCTATCTTTATCTCTATTCCCATAACATCCCTGACAATATAAATCCAATACTAGCATTTTAGAATAAAAATCTTTATGAGTTTTTCTAATAGCAACTGCTATTTGTGGTGGAAAATTCTTATTATTTTTTAACTAAGATACTATTTCATAAACTGACTCATCAGTTTGTTTCCATTTGAAATGTGTTTCATCATTAATAAGAATAATATCCACAAAATCCCTTAAAACTTGAGACCTTGGTAATTCAATTGTAAAATCTTTAGCTGCTTCATAACAAATCAGATTACTTTTTAAAGTAGAGTTAGAAATTTTACTAATATCAGTATGTGTTAATAAACCAACTAATTTGCTAGTATTATCTAAAGTAATTTTATTGATATCAGAATTAATATTATAATCTTCAGAATAAACATTTTCTTTTACATTAGAATCACTATTTTGATTATCAAGTAAAATATTTTCCTCATAATTTGTGTTGATAATATCTTTAATATTCATCCTAGAATCACTATTTTGATTATCAAGTAAAATATTTTCCTCATAATTTGTGTTGGTAATGCCTTTAATATTCATCTTAGAATCACTATTTTGATTATTAAGTAAAATATTTTCCTCATAATTTGTGTTGATAATATCTTTAATATTCATTTCAGAATCAATGTTTTGATCTTCAAACAATGTACTTTCATTATTTACTATAGTACTAGTATCAGAGTCAAAATTTGGGTCTTCAAAAAAAGTGCTTTCTTCAAAATTAAAATCAAAATTAATTGGATAATTAACAGTAGATTTATTCTAACAAAAAGTTAATTATTATTAGTGAATTATATATAAATTGTATAATACAAAATTTTAATTAAATAAAATAATTACCTTTAAATAGCAACCAACAAAATGATTAGGTGCAAAATAGTTAAAAGATAATAGCTTCTTGGCTTTTTTTTCATTTACTCCACCTACAGACCATAATACAGCAATTGCAACATCATATTTTTGTTTTCTAGGTTCAATGATTCATGTAAAACCTCTTAATAATGGTAAGTTTATTGGTAGTGCTTCGATCCGTTTCTAATCCATCCGGATGAATCCAGATGAATCTGGATTTTTTTTTCATCCGGATATCCGGTTTTGATCCAGATTTTGATCCAGATGAAAAATATCCAGATTTATCCAGAATCCGGATAGAAAAAAAATTTTTTCTAATATTTTTTATAAATTTTGTAATAAATAAATACAGTCAACTCCCTCTATAGTCACTCCCGTTATAGTCACATTCTACTATATAGTCACACCAGTTGAATATTCAAAACACTTTATTATTAAAAACTATCCTATATAGTCACAATCTATCTATAGTCACTATCACACCTATCCTCAAAAATCTTATATTAAAAAGAACCGTTTATAATCACAGTTATATAAAGAATATATTAAATAACTTGGCATCTAATAATCGTACAAAGATGGATCATAGCTTGTTAGAATCGTCTCACTGAGATGAATCGAATGGTGGTAGTTTTATCCTTTTGCGATCACTGGCTGATGAGTTATTCAACAAAATGTTGAGCATCGGCATTATTATATTTCTTAATTTACGTTTACTGCACCATTTAACATTTTGCTAAATTTCTCGGTACCTAATGATTGTAAAAAGACGATTAATAGCTCGTTGGAATCGCCTCATCAAGACGAATCGAATGGTAGTAAGCTCATCTCTCTGTGATCAATATTGACGGAGTTACTACTTAAAAACCATTTAATAATTTTAATTTCAGAAATTAATCTAGTGATTGAATTTCGATGTATTTATACCATTAGAACCATCTCATCAAGACGAATCAAATGGCGGTAAGATCGTCTCTCTAGGATCAATATTGGCAGAGTTATTACACAAAAACTATTAATATTTTTTTAATTTCGGAAATTAATCTAGTGATTTGATTTCTATTTATTTTATACCATTAGAACCGTCTCATCAAGACGAATCGAATGGCGTTAAGATTATCTCTCTACTATTAATATTGGCTTAGTTACGATACAATAAAGTTTTGAGTATAATTTTAGCTAAAATTATGTTAATTTTTGGCCGGAATTATGATATACTAATATAAGAAATTTTTTATATAGTCACATCTTTTTATAATCACCAAATATGGACTGTCCCAAATGTGTGACTATAAAGAGAGTTGACTGTAGTCTATTAGTTTCGCAACTGATAAATAATTTTGTAATATATAAATTTTGTCATGAACAACGATAAATTGATGATTAGTAAAAAATTATTTATTTATTATTAATTTATTTAATATAATTAAAGTGAAAATTATTTTTACAAATCTTATTAAGTAAAATCATAATTTAAGAAGCGATATTGTTTTTTAAGTCTGATTTTATCAAAATTTGAATAAAATTTGTAACTCAGGCCAAATTAATAGTGCCAGCCTGAATTACGATAAAATAAGCTAATTCAAATTCAATAATCAAATCAGAAAAAAGGCTACAAAATTTAAAAAAACCTACCAAATTGTATTAATAAGTACCATTATCTCTAATATGGATCGTCATATGCAATCTAAAAAATTTTATATATGAAATCTGATTCGGATTCTGGATTTCACCCGGATTTCTGATCCAGATTTCAATCCAGATCAAACCAGATATAATCTGGATTTTTTTTTGTGTAATCCGGATGACAGATTTCATCTGGATCGAAGCACTATTTATTGGAGGATAAATTGACTGTATTGGTCTTTCTAATACTAAAGCTAAACCATATAGAGAGGACCCCGGATATCTAATATAAAGGTCATAATGGACTTTTGGCCAAAAACACCCCTTTTTACTGAAACTCAAAAAATCGTTTTTTGTAAATATCTCAGCATCCAGTAATTCAATTTTAATGAACTTTTTTTTATTTTGTAGCCCTCATTTAGCTCTACAATTTAAAAAAAAGTTCATCAAAATTGGACTACTGGATGCCGAGATATTTACAAAAAACGATTTTTTGAGCCCCTTAAAAATGGGTCAATCTGCCGAAAGTGTGACTTATGACCTGTTTTGGAGATATTCGGGGTCCTATATAGAGCATCTAATGGACTTCATGCTCCTATATGACACATTTCCATAATCTCAGCAACAAATGGTGCAATATTTCTATATTCTGGTTGCTGATATCTCTTATTATTTGCTTTTGAAAATGCTCTATCTGAATACGAATAATCTTTTTCAAAAACTTCTAAGACAAGATATTTATCAGCATATGCCATCAACTCTAATATTGTAGATAGACGAAGTTGTGTTGATAAAGAGTTTTCGTGAATAAAAAAATAGGATACTGCATTATATAAGCAATTTCCATCAGCAGTTGTATCAGCACATATATAACCATTAAATTCATCTGGTAATAATAAACATACACCTTCATCTATAACTATACCCTCAGATATATAAACATCTACATATGAAAGATCACAAGATAAAATTTGAATTTTTTTATGCTTTTGTCCATAAGATATTATCTCACTTAAACTTGGTTATTTGGCAAGGAATTTTCTAGTTTTAGTTAAAAGTTGTTTAGTGGAAATTGAATCCATAATTAAGTGAATAATTTCAGTAAATTTAGCAAATTTGATAACAAAGAAAAAAAGTTTATGAAAAAAAAAATTATCTTTGATTATATTTAAATCCATTTTATTGAATATTTTCCGTGTCTATAATATAATTTTCTGTGTCTATAATATAATTTTCTACGTCTATAATATAATTTTCTGCGTCTATAATATAATTTTCCGCATCTATAATATAATTTTCCCATAGCTATAATTAACCATGCAGATCATTAGAATTGTTAGAACTAATTCAAATCGATCAAAAAAAATAAAACTGGTATTTAATTTTTTAAAAAGAAAACCAAAAAATTTAAAAATTATTTACAAGCAAATATTAAAATTACACATTTTAAAGAAACAATTTTACATTATCTAAACAATACCATTTAATAATTAACGATTCTGTATTACATAAATTAATATTATCAAGAAAAGTATATTATTTATTACTATTGTAATAATTACATAATATTTACCGTTAAATAATAATGGTAAATATTGTAATATGGACAATCAGGATTTTCATTACCTGTTACTTAAATTATTGTGTTACATTTGATATTTACGGCTAACTACACTTTTTTAAAATAATAATATAGTTAGCCGTAAATATCTAGCCGAAAATAGTAGATGTTGATCTAATAAAATATTCAAAAAATATTCTAGATCAACATGAATTTTTTTTGGCTGGGTGTTGTTAGCCAAAAATTTACTGCGCCTTTGGCTGAATTTTTCGGCTAACTACACCATTATTTTTTATAGACCTATCTAGATACAATATAATTACAAAATAATAACAAAAATATAATAAAAACATTTTAATATATTAAATGTATTTTTGTAGTATTTTAAAATTATTACAAAATCATTTCAAAAAATTGGCCATTTTTAGTAAAGTCTGTAATACGCAATTTTTGAAAAATTTTAATATAAACTTTAAATAAATTCAAATGTAAGTTGTATCAGTATTGTTCAGAGTCTTATTATGATAGTAAGTTTAATATGATATTTTCCATTTTAATTATGCAACTTGTAAAAATTAGACTAATCTTAATTTTATTTTAATATATTATAGAAATTATTATACAAGATATAATTAAATTGAAAAACATTAGAAAATATAAGTTCAATACTTTTTGTAATTTTTTATAGTACATATTATTATTTTATATTATTTAAATATATAAAAGTATGACTGTTGCTAACTTTCTCTCCAGGTGAAGATCACTTAGGGTGATTTCACCCAGGTGATTTCACGTCCTATAAAAATTTAATTAAAAAAATCAGTGATTTCACGCCCTATAATAATTTAATTAAAAAAATCAGGTGATTTCACATCCTATAAAAATTTAATTGTAAATCAGGTGATTTCACTTGAAAAAAAAAATAGTCAGTAATTCACTCATATAAAAAATTTTATTATCTGTTATTATTATATGATATTTAATAAAATGGCCCATACATCTCAAAAAAATTATTAAACATTTGGACATCGTAGGATATAATGACCAGATTGATGGCATTTTTTACAATGTCTTTCCCTTATTTTACCAGCTTGAGTTGCTATAACTCTCTCTTCATTTTCATTATTAGTGATATTAGTTATATTTCGTATATGCCTTGCTTTCTTTTTTTGGGATTCACCACATGATCTGTACCTATTAGGTTATCTACCTTTATGTTGTACTCTTAATAGATCACCAACATCAGTAAGTTAGGTCGGCATAAATTATTGTATTGAAAAGCACTGTAAAATTCGGCGCATTGATCATTGCAATGATTTATGCCAACAAAATACTAAACAATGCACCAATTATTCAGTGCAATGATCATTGTATTGGAAAGTGCATTGATTACTGTGACATAATTCAGCACCTTGATTAGTGTTAAAAGTTTCAGTGCAAATCTGTGACACAAAATTGCAAAGTTTATTTACCTAACTTTAAGTTTATTTTTTATTAAGTTTATTTAGGTATATGGCTTCTTTCTTCGAAGCTGAAGTTTATTTTGCTTCAGTTTCGGTATTATTACTTTATGATT